GGCGGCCCCGGCCCCTCCATCTTCCTGTGGCGCAGGCAAGGGCCGGGCGGCGGGCGGCGGCGGGTGCTGGCAGGAGGGATGCCTGCAGACTGAGCTCATCCAGTTCCACCTGCGGCGGGGGCTGGCGGCCGCGGCCCAGATGCAAACCAAGGGCGGCAACCACAGCACCGCCGCCGCCCCGGCCGAGGCGCCCCTGGCCTCCTCCCCCTCGCCCATGGCGGCGGCCGGGCCCGAGGGGCTGCAGCAGGGCGCTGGGGGCGGCGGGAGCCCGAGTCCGCCCCAGCAAGAGGAGCTGCAGGAGGAGATGGAGAGACTGCGGGAGGAGAACGAGACCCTCAAGGTGAGCGGGGGATGGGCGATGGGAGCGAGATTCCCCCTTTATTCCCCTAGGGAGGAGGAGGAGGATGGCTACAAGGGTGTGAACCCCGCCTCGGGGCAGGTGGGGGTGGAAATGGGCAATGCCTGGCTTCCCCACCCCCTCACACACACACCGGCAAATGGGGAGCTAGACAGGGGCCTAGCACATGGCATCCACTCCCGGCAGAGGTGGAGGGTGGGGCTGAGAAGATTCCTCTGGGGAGATTTGTGAGCTGAGCTGGGAAGGGGTAAGGCCTGTCACCCACACCCTTCCTGGGGAGTGATGGGGGGAGGGAGTAGAAGGGGAGAGAGCTGGTTAGCCAACCCCTTCTGCTGCTTCACAGCTGTGGGTGGGCAGAATGCTGCACAGCAGATACAAAGCATCATGGGCTAGATTTCTGCTTGTTTCCTATTTTTTCTGCTAGCTCATGAGAGGGAGGATTTATAATCCTATCAATATAATACAAGGGCAATAATGTGTTTTATTTCATAGTATCTCTTTTACTGCCCTCCATTTCTCCCATTTGTCTTATTTTTTAATGGGCATGGAGGGAGAAGACCTGTTTTCCAGCTCCATTGTAGCCACATTTCCCTATGTTTTATCTGTGTATCTCTGATATTTATTTTCTTGGTTCATCTGTTTGTGTTCTCCTGTGCCTGACTGGGTGTCAGAATGAGATAGATGAGTTGAGGACTGAGATGGATGAGATGAGGGACAGTTTCTTCGAGGAAGATGCTTGTCAGCTGCAGGAAATGCGTCATGAACTGGAGAGAGCCAACAAGAATTGCCGAATCCTACAGTACCGGCTCCGCAAGGCTGAGCGCAAGAGGCTCCGCTATGCACAGACTGGGGAGATCGATGGAGAGCTCCTGCGCAGCATGGAGCAGGACCTCAAGGTACAGAAGCACTTAGTCTCAGTGTGTGGGTGGGTAGATGAAGAAGGAGAGAACTGAGTGCTGAGGCAAAATGGTGCTCCCATATCCTAGTCTCTGACTCAGACATTCTGCTCCATACCAGTTTGAAACACACATCTTCTAGACTATGCAGGGAGCACAGGGTATAGGAGGCCAGACTTACCCTTTGGTTTGGGGGGCAGAATTTTAAGGGCCATGTTTTGGGCTTCAGACATGTCTTTTATTCAGACTTTACTGAATCCAATTCTTGTTGAAGTCATCAGGAATTTGAGTAATTTCCCTGAGTGATTACATTCGGACCTTTTTAGGTCATTACAAACAAAACAGCTTACACCCTATGGGCCAGTTTTTGTAACCCAATTGAATAGTCCCATTGACTCCAGTGGAACCATTAGAGTATTTACTTAGGCTTCACTGAGATTATTTTTATGAGTAAGTTGTTCATAGGGTGAAATCATGCCTCCACTGAAGTCAATGGAAAAACTCCCATTGACTTTAGTGGGAGCCAGGATTTCAGCCATAGATCTTAATGCCAGAAGGGACCATTATGATCATCTTATCTGACCTCTTGCATAATACAAGCCATAGAGTTTCACTTTCTGCCTCAAGTCCATAACTTCTGGCTGAGCTACAGCAAATATTTTAGAAAGAAAACCAATCTCTTCAAGTGATGGAGGATCCACTGGATTCATAGGTAAGTTGTTCCAATGGTTAATTGCCCTCATTGTTAAATATTCATTGGGCCAAATTTGTGCCTTATTTCTAGTCTGAATTTGTCTACCTTTAAGTTTCTATTCACCACATCTTGTTATGCCTTTAACTGCTGAATTATATACACCTCTACTGTTAGAAATCTTGTCACTGTACTTATCAACTGTGATCAAATCAGCTTTATTTATGGAGATATCCCATCTCCTAGAACTGGAAGGGACCTTGAAAGGTCATTGAGTCCAGCCCCCTGCCTTCACTAGCAGGACCAAATACTTATTTTGCCCCAGATCCCTAAGTGGCCCCCTCAAGGATTGAACTCACAACCCTGGATTTAGGAGGCCAATGCTCAAACCACTGAGCTATTCCTCCCCTGCCATTAATGTTCTCTTTAATAAACTAGATACATGCTTTAGTCACTGTAAGGCAGGTTTTACAGAACTCAAATAATTCTTGTAGCTCTTTTCTGAATCCTTTTCAACGTGTCAACATCCTTTTAAAAGTGTGGACACTGGAACTGCACACGGTATTCCAATAGTGATGTTGGTAATGCCATATACAATGATAAAAACATCTTATTTCTACTGTAACTCAATATTCCCCTGCATATACATTAAAGGACCACATTTGCTGTCTTAGCCATTGTATTGCACGGCAAGCTTATGTTCAGCTGATTATCCACCATGCCCCCTAAGTCCTGTTCTGAGTTACTTCTTTCTAAAAGAAAGTTCCTCATCCTACAAAGGTGACTTATATTCTAGATATTCGATCTTGCATTTAGCTATATTAAAATGCATGTTGGTCAAGTGAGCATAGTTTACCATGTGATCCAGATTGCTCCATAGAACTGACCTGCTCTTATTATTATTTGCCACTTCATCAATTTTTGTGTCATCTACAAACTTTACCAGCAATTGATTTTATGCTTTCTTCAGGATGTGTGATAAAGACATAGAATAGCACTGGGACAAAAACAGATCCCTGTAGGATCCCACTAGAAATGACCCCATTGGGTGATGATTTTTAATCAGAATATTTTGCATGACTGTGTCCAAAACCTTACAGAAGTCTAAATACGTTATGTCAGTATAGTTACCTTTGTCAGCCAAATAGGTAATCTTGTCAAAAAAGGCTATGAAGTGCTATTCAGCCTCAGGGTTGCAGAATCTAGGCCATATATCTGACTTTCCTGCCATGCCAGGGCTTAGAGGGCGGGTAACAGATGCTACCTGTGGAATCCCCTATGTTGAAGGACTACCCAACTGATCAATTAAGCACAAAAGTGGGGGAAAGGAGGCCAGGATCTAGTCCTTTGACTTGATGTGATTTTCACCCTATCCTGCAGTCCCTTAGCCTAGGATCTGCTAGGAATTCAGCAAAGATGGCCCCTCCCCCTCCAAGGGGTGGGTGGGTGTGTGGGTGTGTAAGTAAGGAGTGGGGCGTAGGGATGGGGAAGTCATTGAGTGAATGCTGCAACCTATTGTATCAGTACTTCACACACAGTTGTGTTTCCTGTCATGTGAGCGTGACAGGGGAGGGATAACTCAGTGGTTTGAGCATTGGCTTGCTAAACCCAGGGTTGTGAGTTCAGTCCTTAAGGGGGCCATTTAGGGAGTTAGGGATTGGTCTTGCTTTGAGCAGGGGGTTGGACTAGATGACCTCTTGAGGTCCCTTCCAACTCTGATATTCTATGATACTAGCTGCAACTGTTTTTGATAGATAAAATTCTTCTCCATTGCTTTCTATGCAATATTTTTTCTTTAGAGTTCTATGTTATATACATGAAATATAACAGAGTATTAAAAACATGTAACAAATATTGTATTGGCCATAAAAAGATAGAACTCTGAGCTCAGACTTAGGTAATGCAAGCACCGAAGAAGGATCAACTGTGTCTTCAATTTTTAAAGAAATTAACATGTCACATCTTTCAAAATGATTGTATCGAAGTCATCATAGCTGTTGTTGTTTACCTAAATATTTGATATATGTTAGTACTGTTTTAAAAGTGCCATAAAGTTATAATGTAATGTTCTGTATGGCATAATTGTGATTTACATAAGTGAAAAAAGGGATTGGGTCCTGGTACATTTCCTTAAACCTTCCTCCTGTGTCTGTGCATTTCAAAATTGAAAACAAAAACCATGAATGCTTCTATGCACTTTAAAAATGTTATACTGAATTTTAGTGTTAGACACAGGTGTCTGGTCAAAAATCTAAGGCTTATCTTATTTTTAAAATTAAAGTAATTAGCAATAATAAAGACCAGATTGTGACCAACCTTGCATGCCTAAACGGGGGAGGAAGTGAGGAGCTGTCCCCTCGTTTGTGCTTCATATGGCTGGAGAGGGTAGACCTTGCTGTTAGTCAGTGCTTCCATGGGCATTAACTGTCTGAAAGGGATATGCCTGGGTGCAGTAGGAAAGGGATCGGTGAGTGAAGGAGTTGGGAGAACTATCAAAGCAGAATTCAGTCCCTTTCAGGTACAGTTTCCAAGGATGGTGGAGTTACTGCTTCATTGTGCACACCCGGGAGTCCAGAGATGGAGTACACCTCTACCCCTATATAACGCAACCCGATCTAACATGAATTCGGATATAACGCGGTAAAGCAGCGCTCCGGCGGGGGGGGAGCTGTGCACTCTGGCGGATCAAAGCAAGTTTGATAAAACACGGTTTCACCTATAACGCGGTAAGATTTTTTGGCTCCCGAGGACAGCGTTATATCGGGGTAGAGGTGTATTTGTTTAGGGACTAATCCAACTCCCACTGAAGTCAATGGAAAGAATCTTCTTTCTGAACTTCAGTGAAAGTTAGGCTGTGTTCTTACGTAGCCAGAATCCCACTGGTTGACTCTGGCTTCCGCACATCTTTTCTACACCCCTTCTACCGAAAAAAGTCATAAGTGGTAATTCAAACAGTACTGCAAAAATACATATTTTTCATGTATTTAATTATTTATTTTTGCAAACACCATTTCATTTAGGTTGCAAAAGATGTCTCAGTAAGACTTCATCATGAGTTAGAAAATGTGGAAGAAAAACGAGCTACAACAGAAGATGAAAATGAAAAGCTAAGACAGCAGCTTATAGAAGTTGAGATTACTAAACAGGCTCTACAGAATGAACTGGAAAAAGTGAAGGAGGTTAGTGTTATTTACTGGTGATGCTTCAAAATACGTGAACTGTTTTTATTTCAACCTGAAGTTCTGAAATTACCATTGCTGAAATAACTAATATTCCATATACTTGTTGCAGTTATATGGGAGTTCTGAGGGTGCAGAACTAAAGGTGGCAAATGGTCAGGTTGAATAGCTTGATTATTGAGAAGTTGTAAACAAATTGGAGGAATTAAATGGGCTGTAAATATCATTTCAAAGACATACAAAAGACAAAGACAACTGTTGTCTTGCTTTTTTCTGAAGCTGTGGGATTGTGGAGCTGTCATAGCTAAGCTGTGGGGCTCTGATTCTGCCTATGCAAGGCAGATGCCTGAGGAATGCTATAGGGAGTTTTAGTATAAATGTGCGGAATGGTGTCCTGCACACCTACTTTTGTAAGCTGGAGTATGTGCTCCCCCAGCAACTGCTGTCAGATGCTAGCAGGCATGCAGAGGAGCTAGGTCCTGGCCATGTTCCCATCCTAGCTACGTTCCCTTTGCGTTTTGGAATGCTGATGGGTGCACTAGCTGTCCTTTCAGCCTAGTGCTCAATGAAATGTTAGGTCTGTATTGTACCTGACTTGTTCACATGTGCTAGGCTGAAGAAAATGCTCTTTATCCTCTTCCCCAGCCCCTAGGTGCAAGAGCACCCCGATTTTTCTTAATAAAATAAACAGAAAAGTCTGCAAGAGCAATACATAGCGCAGCAGATTGAAAGGTAACAAAGCAAGCATTAACAAGAAAAAGTGTTTGGACTAAAAATGAATATTCCAAACAGATTTAAGAAATAACTCACCATTTCACTATATCCATTCAGTGAATGCCATTGGTTGCCATTTTAGTGAGACTTCCCAACTGAAAGTCCAGTTGCTAGTCTGATCTTGTTAGAGACTGAAGAAATGTATTTAAGTAGCTAAGAAAGGCAGGAGATTTTCAACGTTGTAGGGTAAGTTCTATTATTTTTAGAATTTGTTTTGTTTAATTTAATAGTGGTTTCATGTACACAATACCTATCTTTTCTTTGCAGGTGTTGATACACTTGTCAAAAGAGAATAAAGTGGTGTCCATTGCCACACCCCCACAAACTTCTTTCCATTGCTTTTCCAGCTAGTAACTGGTTTGCCAAGAACATGAAAATCGGAGCCTGCTCCATCTTCCATGCTTGAGACTCTCTTTCTCTTCTGGTTTTGTTCTAGTCTTCACTGTAAAACACCACTGCTCTCAGCTGCCAGACCCATCTGCTGTATGAGACTGTGTAGTTACCTTTAGTACTTGTTGCTAGACTCAGCCTTGCTCCAAACCTTCCCCAGTTCCAGTCCATTCAGACTCCCTGGGTTGCTGTTCAGGGTTCAGCCCTACTTCTGACTCTTTTGCCCCAGTCCAGTGCTGAAGGTTATGCCATTGTTAGCTTCTACCTCACAACCTGCTTCTTCTTGGTCTTTGAATTAAGATCAAATGTGGTATCAGTTTAATATCTCATACATCATCTATTAGGGAGCTACATCTTGTACATGCAGGGGAATGAACTTAATAATTGGCCTTTGTCATCATTAGCTTCTATGATCTCCTCCTAACTCCTGGATCTATTCTGCATTTCGAACTGTTGAAAATAGAAGGAACCATGGTGTGTTGCCTGATGAGTGGACATTAATGTTGCTCATGTCCGCAACAGCTTGCAATCAGTTTGACCTCAGAATTTAGGGAGCTGTTTTGGGATAGCATGTGATAGAACTGTGTTTTCCACTGACTGCTCCCACCTGCAGCCTGATGATGCCCTATTTAATGCACCGTGCAGATTCTTTGCTTAGCAACCTTACCACTACATATCTCCAGATGGAAGCAGGCCAGTTAAGCTGCAGTGCACAATGCAGGTTTTTCATGTGCACAGTGGGGCTTCAGCCTTTCTTTGTAGCAAATTACTACTAATTGCTTATATCTGTGCCCCATTATTAATAATTATCATTAATAGTAATATTTTTATTGCAGGGAACATATGATGCTAGATATACAGGTTCTGTAATTCATTTGGGTTCTCTAGCATATTTATTAGATTTTTTAAGCACTTCAGTTCATCATTAGATATGCAACTTGATATTAAATATATATTAGAGGTAGGGCAGTTATCACGGTCAGCAATTATATTATTATTTAAAGCTGACAAAGGCATAATAATAATGAGTAATTAATTACTTAGGGCTACATTTTGTGTAGCCTTTATGTAGTTTCTCAGAGGTGTAGTAGAAAGTAAGGATTCCCCCATCTTGTGCAGCCACATTAGTGCTGAATTCAGTTGCAGCCAAGCACTTGGATGTATAGATGTTGTGCCCTAGATGCTTCCTGTTGGGAGAAATAGAATAGGTGTGGAGTAGGCTGGTGGCTGGGGGGAGAATGCTAAACCCCATAAATGGGTTTCAGAAATCACTTCTCCAGTGCAAAGGTGAAGCCCTGGGAGGCATTGTGCCTTTCTGAGGTGGAGTGGTGCAACTGTGGATCATCTTCTATTATGCACTGCATGAAAACAAAGTCTAGAGGCCATGTAGTTCAGTGGGTAGGGCTCTGGACTGGGAGTCAGGAAAGCTGGCTTCTTTGTCTGGCTTTGACACTGACCTTCTGGGTAAGATTAGGCAAGTCACTTCACCTCTCTGTTTCCCCTTCAACCCTTGGTCTATTTAGGTTACAAAGTCTTTGGGATGGAGATTATTTCTTATTATGTGTTTGTACAGTGCCTAGTACAATGGGGTCCTGGTCTCAGCTGAAGCCTTTAGATGCTAATGTAATAGAAATAGTATTAAATTAGCCCATAATGTTTAGTATTTCATATGTTTGAATACATTAATTCATGTAAATATTAACTTATTAATGGAAATAATTATGGGTGAAATGGGATTACTCCATTCATATATTTGTACTATATGTGTTTCTGGTAATGGCGTCTGTAGGTATGCTTGCTTAACATTTCCGGTTATAAGATCCTGTTTTCAGTTGTTTATAGTTTTGTCCAACTTTAATGGTTAGTGCTGACATTTTCCACACTGAGGGTCTTCATAAGGCTAAATGTTGTTATTAAAAATTTCATGAAAATGGTTCATCTGTTTCTAAGAATGAAATTAAGGAAAATATATTTTGCCATGTTAAAAAAATGTTTTACAACTGTTTAATTGACAAGATCTGGCACCTTCATGCTTTGGAACAAGGACTTGAAATGTGGCCTTTGTCATCCCCTTGAAAATCCATCCAAATTTGGCTGAGGTATAAGCCACTGAAAAATTTCAGCTCACACATGCTCGGTAAAGATTTGTTAGAGTTTGGCAGCTAAATTCTCAGATGTTTCCATTCACAGTGAGTGTGCTCCAGTCCCTCACAGATCCTTTGTGTCAACTGGATTGTGCATACATCATCCGCATAGAGTGACTGAATGTGGTCCAGCCCAGGGTTCTAGGGCTGAGCAGAACTTTCCCTATAATCATTCCTCTTGGCTGCTGGGGCTACTGTGGCACCAGAACTGGGAGCAGGGAGAGATTGTCTCTACTGTGCTTTCAGTGTCTCCACCCTCCTTCCCCAACGGAGACAGGGGAATGGTGAGGCGGATTCAGACAGGGACAGGCTGATCCAGTTCTAGTCCCCATGCCCAGCAGTCCTAATCTCCCCCTTGGCATTCCGCATCCAAGTCCCAGTTTCCCCTCCCCCAGTCTCTCCCTGGACACACCCAATCTCCTTGACAGACAGTATCTGTCTCCCTCCACAACTCCTTGTTCACAGTCTCCTTGCCCAACCAGTTCCAGATGTCCCCTCTTGACTCGTCATCTGATCTACTTCCTTCCTGTCTCCCAGTCCCCAGTTATCTCCCTGTTCCTCTCTGTTCTCGTTCTGCTCCCCCTGTCATGCTGGTTCCGTCTCCCTCCCTGGACTCCTCATCCAGTCTGTCTCCCTGGCTTCTTGTCCCACTCTCCACCCTCCTTGCCTCATTGTACCAGTTCTTTTGCCCAGCTAGTCGCAGTTCTACCCTGCACCTGGGGTCTTTGTCAGATTCACCTCCCTTACCCCCATTTCCTCCTACTGGTCCCTAGTCTCAGGCTCCCCCATTCCCTGCAGTTCCTAGTCCGACCTCAGTGTTCTCCACCCCACCTGGCCCCCAGTCTCCTCTGCTCCCTGTTTATCTCACTAGCACCCAATCCCAGCTTCCCCTTCCCCCAGGTCACAGTCTCCTTGCTTAGTCAATACCAGTCTCCCCACCTCCCCTCTCCTGAGTCCTAGCCCCAGGCTCCTTGCCCAACATGTCCCAGTCTCCATCCCGGCTCCTAATCCCTGTCCTTCTTACAACTCCCAGTCACAGTTTCTTTTCCCTGCCCTTGCCACCAAGTCCCAGTCTCACCAGGCTCCTTTTCCCAGTCTACTCCCTTCCCTCCTATCTACTCCAGCTCTCATTCCCTCTGCATTCAAGTCAGGTGGCTTTCTCCCCCATGCTCCCTGTGTGCCAGCAGGCGAGTGTTACTGAGAGCACAGGGAAGAAATGTTCCCTGTTCTCAGTTCTGGTGCCTAGCCCCACTTTGATCTGGACCAGTCAACAGCAGCAAATACAGGGAAATTCAGGCTTTGTCCCTGTAACCATGCTGTGGGGATGGTTTATGTACAATCTGGTCAGCATTAGGAGCTATGAGGGGATGGCACATGCTCAGCACACATGGGATCTTCAGAGATTTTAGCCGCTAAACTCTAAGAAGTTTCTACTGAGCGTGTGAGAACTGCAGTTTTTGAGAGCATTATTAGAATTTGGCCAAATTTGGGCAGATTTCCACAGAAACAGCTAAAAGGCACATTCCTGATACAAAGGCCCTCCCTGTAATATTTCAAATCCTTGCTCCCAAGCATGAATTAGATAAGTTCATGGAAGAGGCTGGGAATGAGCGACAGGGAATGGATCACTTGATGATTACGTGTTCTGTTCATTCCCTCTGGGGCACCTGGCATTGGCCACTGTTGGAAGAT